CTAGAACACTCCAGACACCGGGAAAAACGGACGATCTCACCGATGTCATCGCTTGAGAAACGCGAGGCAAACGCTGTGGGCGAAGCGTGTCGCGCGGTGGGCGGAGCTAAATTGAAAGATTCGTGAAACGGTTCCAGAACACTCCAGACACCTCGAAAAAGTAGTTTGAGATCAGCGAGGGGTCATCGGTTGAGGAGGTGGACGGGGCCAAGTGAAAAAATCCCTGAAACAGTTCTAGAACACTCCAGACACCGGGAAAAACGGACGAGGTCACCGATGTCATCGCTTGAGAAACGCGAAGCAAACGCTGTGGGCGAAGCGTGTCGCGCGGTGGGCGGAGCTAAATTGAAAGATTCGTGAAACGGTTCCAGAGCACTCCAGACACCTCGAAAAAGTAGTTTGAGATCAGCGAGGGGTCATCGGTCGAGGAGGTGGACGGGGCCAAGTGAAAAAATCCCTGAAACAGTTCTAGAACACTCCAGACACCGGGAAAAACGGACGATCTCACCGATGTCATCGCTTGAGAAACGCGAGGCAAACGCTGTGGGCGAAGCGTGTCGCGCGGTGGGCGGAGCTAAATTGAAAGCTTCGTGAAACGGTTCCAGAGCACTCCAGACACCTCGAAAAAGTAGTTTGAGATCAGCGAGGGGTCATCGGTCGAGGAGGTGGACGGGGCCAAGTGAAAAAATCCCTGAAACAGTTCTAGAACACTCCAGACACCGGGAAAAACGGACGATCTCACCGATGTCATCGCTTGAGAAACGCGAGGCAAACGCTGTGGGCGAAGCGTGTCGCGCGGTGGGCGATTCGTGAAACGGTTCCAGAGCACTCCAGACACCTCGAAAAAGTAGTTTGAGATCAGCGAGGGGTCATCGGTTGAGGAGGTGGACGGGGCAAGTGAAAAAATCCCTGAAACAGTTCTAGAACACTCCAGACACCGGGAAAAACGGACGATCTCACCGATGTCATCGCTTGAGAAACGCGAGGCAAACGCTGTGGGCGAAGCGTGTCGCGCGGTGGGCGGAGCTAAATTGAAAGCTTCGTGAAACGGTTCCAGAGCACTCCAGACACCTCGAAAAAGTAGTTTGAGATCAGCGAGGGGTCATCGGTCGAGGAGGTGGACGGGGCCAAGTGAAAAAATCCCTGAAACAGTTCTAGAACACTCCAGACACCGGGAAAAACGGACGAGGTCACCGATGTCATCGCTTGAGAAACGCGAAGCAAACGCTGTGGGCGAAGCGTGTCGCGCGGTGGGCGGAGCTAAATTGAAAGATTCGTGAAACGGTTCCAGAACACTCCAGACACCTCGAAAAAGTAGTTTGAGATCAGCGAGGGGTCATCGGTTGAGGAGGTGGACGGGGCCAAGTGAAAAAATCCCTGAAACAGTTCTAGAACACTCCAGACACCGGGAAAAACGGACGATCTCACCGATGTCATCGCTTGAGAAACGCGAGGCAAACGCTGTGGGCGAAGCGTGTCGCGCGGTGGGCGGAGCTAAAT